TCTGTCTCTGTCCAACCCCTCCCTCCAGCTGCTGCTTAACTTTCTCCTTGTCACTCTTCTTGAGAGAATCCTCCTCACATACTGTCTCCATTTCCTCACATCCTGTTCACTCTCCACTCTGCGTACACCACTCCGGTGTCTTAGTTCATTCCCTACTGCTCCCCGGGACTGCCCTTCACCAAGATCACAAACTATTTCTGTGATGCTAAATTCAATGGAAACCTTTCAATTCCCTCTTACTTGACCACTTAGACGCGTTCAACATACTACATACTTGCCTTCTAGAAATGCTCTCTTCCCTTCTCTCCCCTTTTGTGACACTCTATTAGTATATAGCTTTCTACCTAACTAGCTGCTTTGTGTCCATCTCTTTTTCTAGCTCTTTATCTTTCACTGACATTTAGAGGTTGGAACGTGTCATGGCTCAGATCTAGGGCTTCCTCTCTGTTCACGTGTTCCCTTTGGCATATTAGATTCTCTTATGTAGCTTGTACTGCAGTCTACATTCCCATGGTGTTTCACTTCTCATAGAATGAAGCTCTTACGGAGACATTCAAGAACCTGAGTTATCTCCCCTACTTGCCTCTGTAGCCTTTTCCCTCACTTCCTGCACTCCAAACAAACTCTTTTAATTTCTATCACAGCACCATGGTCTCCATATCCCCAGCCATCTCCACATTCCTCTCCCACTGCCTGTTAGTCTACTCCCACACCTCCCAAGTCTGGCTGTCTGGCTGTGAGTTATCCTGCAGGCGTGTCCCTCAGTGGCACTTCCTCAGAAAGGCATTTCTTGCTTCTCTAACTAGGCCAGGCTCATTTTTTTATTCAGGATCGGTTTTTATATAATTTTACAATGTAGTGTATCTCTCCAGATTATAATGTATTTATTTAGTTGTGTAACTGTTTTGTTATTCATTCCCTTACCAGACATTAAGCCCCAGCTGTTGTTGCTGAATGTTCCACATACAGTGGGTCTTCAGTATAATTCATTCATCATTCATTGAAGATTTTCTTTCAAGAGTCCTTTCCAATTTTATAAGGTATAGGCTCCAAAAATACTGATGCACCTCTAATAGCTATCCTCACAGTTAATGGGAGATCCATCTATTTAAAATATATATATATAAAATATAAATACATATAAATATATTTATATATATTTTATATATAAATAAAAAATATATAAAATATATATGGTATATATATACCTTGAAAAATATATATTTTATATATATACCATATATATTTTATATATATACCATATATTTTTTTTATATATTTTATATATATATACCATATATATATATACGGAGTCTTCTGGAAAGGGCCATCCAAGTGGCATTCATGACCCATTGTCTGCTGACCAGTGAGGCAGAGAATTAGGTCATTGCCCTTTGTGATAATTAGAAGGGGCTCTTTGCCAATCGTCACTAGATGTATGAGAGCCCGGTGCAGACCAGAAGCGCTAACTTGGTGATGTGCTGACTTGAGCAGGAATGGGGCTCGTGTCGTCAGCTGCTGTACAGCCAAATGCCAGTGTCTAGTTGAAGATGGGGCTCAGAACGGTGCTACCTGCTCTTCGAGTCTCCTTCCTGGGAGTTTGGGCCCACTTCTGAGACAAAGAAGCAAAGATAGCAAAGGTGGTGAGGCAAGCTTCATTGCCATATTTATTTATTTATTATTTTCAATGTTTATTTATTTAATTTGAGATAGAGAGAGCAAGCAAGCAGAAGAGGTGCAGAGAGGAAGAGGGAGACAGAGGATCCCAAGCAGGCTCCACACTATCAGCTCAAAGCCCAACGCAGGTCTCAAACTCATGAACTGTGAGATCCTGACCTGAGCCGAAATCAAGAGTCAGACGCTTAACTGACTGAGTCACCCAGGTGCTCCTGATCGTTTTTTATTAATGGGAAGACTGGCCATCAGCCTCACGTACTCTCCTCAAGCCCTGAGGACCGGCGCCCAGTCTCAGTCCCTGGGGTGAATGAGTCTGCTACTGTAAGGAACAGATTCGCTTGTACTGCAGGAACGAACGCCATTTCGTATCAGGGGTACAAGAAATTGCTGCGGGGAATGTAACTTTGGAATCGGCTGCAGTGTTCCTACGGAAGCCACGCTCCTCATGGGCTTCTCGCTCGGCCAGACTGCTCCATCTTGAGCAGTACATTCTAGTTTCAATTTTTCCTCAACCGAGTTTTGTCTCCCCGTAGCACTGTGTAGTACTGCAGTCACCTTCAGACCCAGGTCATGATGGAATGTGAAGTAGGAAATAACTTCCTGGGGTTCCTGGCCTAGAGGGGGCAGTTTCTACTGGATTCAAGACTGGTGTCATCATTGCTTGTTCTTTATCTTAGGGGAAAAAAGTTGAAAAGTGCTCCCTTACAAGCCCTTCTCCCAGCCATCTGAAGGAAGAGGGTCCTTGGGCGCTCACAAATCTATAGCCAACCAAATTTCCAGAACCCTGCACTTTCCCTAGTGTTATTTACAGAAATGACAGGTAGCCACATTGTTCATCCTGCTGATTCCTAAATTCCTCAGAAAAAAAATGTGCCCATCTTACTAACATTCAAATTTCCCATGAAATATATAGCATTCACAGGATATTCTCAGCAGAAACCTAATCAAATCTGTATCTCTTCTATTAAAACTACATTAGGATTGGGGCGCCTGGGTGGCTCAGTTGGTTAAGCATCAGTCTTCAGCCTAGGTCATGACCTCACGCTTCATGGGTTCGAGCCCCGCGTCGGGCTCTGTGCTGACAGCTCAGAGCCTGAAGCCTACTTCAGATTCTGTGTCTCCCTCTCTCTATGATCCTCCCCTGCTCATGCTGTCTCTCTCTCTCTCTCTCAGAAATAAATAAAACATTAGGATTATTTTGATTGCAGCTTAAGGACTCAAATTCATGTGTAGCCAAGTTTCCCCAAAGGGTGAATCTATTAATTTAAATAACAAAGAAGTCCAGTAGACAGATCTGGCTTTGCGCATTATTTCTTTTTAATGGAACATAAAAGCTTCCAACAGCTCTGATAACCTAGTCCTCACAGGTGCGGATCTAAAAAGGAAGAGCTTTTTTAACATGAGCTCCAGTAAAATGCAAGAGTGACCTCAGCCTGGCCAGCATGAGCCATAAGCCCACTTCATTGTTTTATGTTTTATTTATTTCTGAGAGAGAGAGAGAGAGAGAGCATGAACCGGGGATGGTCAGAGAGAGGGAGACAAAGAATCTGCAACAGGCTCCAGGCTCTGAGCTGTCAGCACAGAGCCCGACACGGGGCTCGAACCCAAGAACTGTGAGGTCATGACCTGAGCCGAAGTCAGATGCTTAACTGACTGAGCCACCCAGGTGCCCCTGTAAGTCCACTTCTGAATCAATCCCTACGGTTTGGTAGCAGAGGTGTTCCACATGGAAAATACTGGCAATATATATAACAGACAGAGGTCATAAATTGTTTATATTGAGCATATATTTAAGATTTCTATAAATAAGAAAAAGAAAAAGAATGTTAGAGGAAGATAGACAAAAGCCACAGAAGAGGAAAATGAATAACAATAAACATATGAAAAATTCTTGTTACCAATAGCGTTCAGTGAAACAAGTGTATATTAAAACAAGGAAATAATCATTTTTACTCTATATAAATGTAAGAATGCAAAGGGAAATGTTGATAAGAGTGTGGGAAATGGGTCCTCTCAATACATTGCTGGGGGACAAATCTGTACCATCACACATGCATAATTTAGAGAACTATGTTGTCAATGGAAATGATGGCTAGTGTGGTACGTATTAGCTTGGTAATGTCTCCAAGACATATCCTTCAGTGAGAAAAAGAAATTTGCATAGTAGAACATTTTGGAAACCATGGAGCTGCACCTTTAGGAAGATCTGCTATAAGGAATGAATTTGGCTGACAGCCCACAGCTGCCAAGTCCATAGACTCACGAGGCCCAAGAATGAGGATGCGCCAAGGCAAAAATGTTAAAACAATGTGGTAAGTGCAATGATAGAGATGTGCACAAGACACACACACCCAGAGAAGGCAAACCAAAGTAACTTTGGGAAGATGAGGAACTTTTGGTCTGGGATGGCTCCCAGGAGGAGATCATGATCACGTTGGGATAGATAAGTGCGTGCAGAGGAGGGGAAAGAATTCCAAACCAGCAGAACAACCTGAGCAATTAACAGAGGGAAGGAAGCCACATTCAGGGAGTTTACAACAGGTTGCTAAATATTAAGATAGAGGCATGGATTATAACAAATGAGGCTAACAAGATAGGCAGGGGCCAGCAAGGCCTCCTATGTCATGTTAGGGAGGTCTGAATGGGTTTTGATGTGGCCAAGATCCACGAAAGCCTTTTGAGCAGGAGAGTCCCTCTGAGAAGAGATTAGACGACAGTACGACAGAGTAGAGGAGAACAGATAGGAGGCTATCGCCATCATCCAGAGAAGGTGAACGTCTGGAAAGGAGATTTGGGGGAGCGTTGTTCTAGTTGGAATCAATGGAAGGGAAGAAATCCAGGAATACGGAGCTGGTACCGTCCGTAGGAACTGGTAATGGGCTGGAGGCAGGAGGTGGAGTCAGAGATGGGGAGGAGCCTGATCAGATACACCCAGGGCGCCGGCGCGAGCGCAGAGAGGTGGTAAACCGAGTCAGATCAGGAAACCTATACCTCAGGGAATACAGGGATGGTTGCAAAGGCATCTGGTATTGTCCTTCTGCCACTGTCTTAAAAGGGATTCTAAAGGGATTTTCTTTCCCTTGTTCCTCCAGCACTACACTCGCATTACTGGCCTAAGTGGATACTCACCAGCTGGCCGTGTCCATCACTACAGCCAAGACTGAGAATTCCTGATTATACTTAGAGCCTGTGGAGCTGCTGACACAAACAGTCATTAGCAGACGACCCTTTAGTAACAAATTATGCTTTAAAATGTAAACTGTGGGGGCATTTTCCTTGCGTTGTCCAGAAGGAACTTTCTCCTGCCTGAGCCTGGATTAATCATGAGAGAGCTCGTCAACATTCCACTGGTACATATTCTCACTTTGGTTGCCTTCAGCGGGACTGAGAAACTTCCAAAAGGTTTGTTTGAGGAATCTTGTCTGCTTCTTGCCTTGTCACAGTTCTAAAGTGCATGTGTGTGCTCCGATCACGATCGATTCATATGATGGTGGGCTTGGGTTTTACTTGGTGAAGTAGGGGTGCGGTGTATGGAGAGGGAGAAAACTGTAGAAACAAGCAGTTGAGTGACGGTCTCCTGTCTACCAGTATCCCTCCCCCGCTTACGTTCTTTAATAAAAAGTCTAGCCACACAGGGCATGCAGAGCCCTCACTTGTAGGAAAACGAAAGCAGGTAGACTGCAAGTTATCAAGGTCTGTTTGGCTTATGTGTGTGTGTCAAACTTCAGGGTGGTCTTAATGGATGATGAAAACCTTTTCACATTAGTTTTGTTGGGAATATAATCAACTCTACTCCCAGATGTCCAGAGTGTTTGCTTCTGAACAAAAATCATTCCCATTTTCCGTTTCAGTTTTGCAAAATTTTAAAGAGTATTTTAGTTCCTAAAAATCGGAATTAAAGAAGGACTTACACAATTTGCCTATATAATAAAAGCCTGAAGACAATGAGTTCTCATTAACTTTGAGGTTGGAGGCACGAGTTGGCTCAGCAAGAGACTGTGAAAGTTTTTTTTCAGAGCCTTTGGAATGTACCGGAAATAACACCACCTCAGGGAAAGGAAAGCAACTTAAGAAACTGACAAACACCTGTTGCAGCAACAAGAATGTCCACAGTGATCTGGTTTCTGGCCAGTGTATTATAAAACGGAGACTAGTGTATTTCAAATCAGGAAGAAAGACAGGAAAGTATGTGATTTACAAAGTGACTGAGGGGCTTCTCTGAAAAATTTTTTAATGATGTGAAAAAGACGGAATGATATCAATGAAAGAGTTTTTGAATTAAGTGTATTAGAGTGAAAAAGCTCTGTGTTTTATGATACACTCAAATTAATTATTTTCCCTTTATGTTACTTTCCCAAAGAACTGAACACCTTTGTATTGCATAGGTAAGTGAAGGTAGTATCTCTATGTAGATGGGAAACATAGCTATAGATTTCGTGGGTCACTAGAATTTTTGGAGCCACAAGGGCAAGATTCACATGCTAATAAGATACAGCTTTCTTCACAATCTGATTTCAGAGACTTATGTTTTGTTTTCTTTTTCTGTCTTACACAAGCAGAATAGTATCTTCAGATGTACTTAAACACTTAATTGCCAACTAATACTTTAAGGTATCGCCAGATAAGGAAGAATCTAGATCTTTTCAAACAGCTAATAATAGCCAGAACGACTTAACATTGGCTTCAGATTATTTTAATACTTCCTGATCATACAACGGATGTCCGGTAAGGTACTACCTGAATGTTCACACTTATGGCCTTCTCTTATAAGTCTTATTTGTGCTCTCCTATACCACAAAGTTACATAAAAGTGGCATGGGTAAATGCTAACATCTACTAAAATTCAGTCTTATCAGGAACAAGACAATTGATTTTCCTGGTTCAAATCAGGATTTGATGCATTAAAGAAAAAAACTATCTCCCTGTATAAACAACTCTTAATTTATATTCTAGAAAGAAATGATTTACAGTTCCCAAACTTTACAGGTAAAGCCCTTTAATTCAAATGCACACCATCCCCATTCTGAAAAATTCAAAATATGGTGATCTGAAGATAAAGCCAAGCATCTTGGACTTCAAATAAAATAATCAGATTGTTTATCTAACTTTATGTATAATTAATTTACTGCTATAATTAGATTATAAACCCCCAAAATTAAAAGAATGTTTTTACCCAGTCTGCCGTATTTACGTTAAAATTTAAATTAGTTATGGATTTAACACCAAGCTTAGCCAAGAACACCAGACCTAGGAGAACAAACATCCATTAACGACACACACCAGTTCTGAGAATAAACATGATCATAAAAACACAGTTCTTAAAATTTTAAATGTTAGAGTTCATGGAATATATTGGTACAGAAAACAATAATATGTTATTATTTTAATATTACTGAAAGTAATAAAGATGTTCCACACAAAGTATCTCAGGGTTATTGTCTCTATTCTTGACAGAGAATAAAAAGAATTTGTTTAGACAGATACCTTTTTCCTAAGTCCTTTAAAAGAAATGAATCAAGGAATCTGCATAATAATGTGTTACAAGATGATGGGTTTTAAATAGCACAAGAGTATTTAGTGGATTCTTTTCTAACTCTCCACATACCATTTCCTCAGTAAAATTAATAACAGACTTTGTAGAAATGACAAGCTCAGTATCATAACACAAGCAGGAGAAATTTACAAACCATCATGTATGAAAGTAACCCACGTTTCATTGAATACTTGCCTGAGCCACATACTTCAATAACAGTGCTTTATCAGGAGATATTAAGTGTGCCGTGGGATTTAAATTCTGTCGAAGTATAGGAGTTCACGTAAGCAGTACTGAGTTTCTTTAATACGCACAAAGAACTCCTGTCCAAACTCCACTTTTTTAAATTACCCCATTTACTCCCATACCTAGAAGTTTTTGAGCCTAAGTGATTTATCTTCAGATATATTTGAGTAACTTCCTCTTCTAGATCGTAGGCATACAAAGATAGGGTTCACAGATTAAACAAATGACTAAGTCAGAGCAGGCACAGCTGTCATTGAAATCCAGGACACCGAGTCCTGGATGAATATTGACGTACATTGAAAGAGCGACTCATTGCGGGTTTGGGGAAACACAGTTGCTTTAAATAATACTGCCCCTTCAAGAACAGAAAGAAAGAGCAGAAATGTCAAGATTTCTGCCGTCTTTCCAGAATAGCAGGCAAGTTTCCAGTGAACTAGGACTTAAAGTCACAGGACAAAGAGACAAGTGAGGGGCATGTACGGGACCTAAAGGATGTGGCCCCATTCAAGAAAGTGAGCACAGAGCGGACCAGAGTCATGCAGGGGAGCTATGAGGGCCATGCTGAGGACCCGGCTGGGGCTGGGGGCTGAGCCTCTATAGTGGCCTTGTTTGCACCAGAGTTTCACTCCATCTAACAATACTATATGAACATAGGAGCAACCGAGGACAGCGGTTAGATTAGTTCAAGGTTGGTTCCTCCCAGAGTCAGGGCGGCTAAAGGACTAGACAGAAAGGGAGCTGAGATTATATGGCAACATACCACACAGCCTAGGCTGAATAACCTAGGCAGTGAAGTGAGGACATTTAAGGCTGGAAGGGAGTGTCAACATCAAGTTCCTTTTCCTAATCTTCAGTGTCTTTCTGTGTGTGTTTGGGGACAGCACGTAGTATTGGAGAACCTCCATTTCCTAATAAAATGAAGAGGTATGTACTAGTGTTCAACATATAATATTAGTTACTATGCTAAGAACAGTCAGGGATTACTGAAATGATCGCTCTTGGGTAACATGCACATTTTAGACGGGTCCCTTTGGGACTATATCTTAACCCAAATGAATTCACCCAGCAGAGGCAATTTCAGAAATTCTGAATAGTCTGAGCCAGAAGCCCCTCTGGCCTATTCCCAGTACCATTCCTGAGGGCAAGGACCAAAAGTGAGTTCTGTGACAAAAAAATGAATGATACAACACTAATAAGTAATTAAGATTATCAATGAAGCTTACAAGTTCCAAAGGCATCATAATAAAAAATAACTTTTATTGTATCACCAGTAGGATAAATGAGCCAGTTTCTAAGATAAGCCAAATGGTGAGCAATGCTAAATAACCTCTTTCTTTGGGGAATCTGAAAGATTTCCAGCACCAAAGTGTTTTATCATATTGAAAAAACAATACTGTATTCATGTTAGAAAAAAAAAAAACATGAATACATCCCAAGTCTGAGCTCTAATTTTACTAAAACAGAAAGGAGCAAATTCACCTGACTTCTTGCTTTACTCAGTCATTTGGTCACGTTAGTCAACAGCTAGTCAATCAGAAGCTGGTCTGTCCATGACCATGCGGATGAGCCCACAAAAGGGTAATGTCAAGTTCCTTCTCATCACGCAGCTAGGATTCAAGTGAAGTTACTCTTTGGGTCCAGGAAAGCGTTGTGCTCAATTTCATGTATTTGTTATTCATGTGGTCCTTGGATTGAGGGAAGAAATAGTGCCCTGGTTTAAACAGGCTCTGGCTGAGATGAAAGCTGGATAACAGAATGAAAGTAAACAGGAGACAGTCTGCTGAGTCAACAAATGTCATTAAATACAACGATGTGATTTTGCCAGTAACAATTTGAAAATGGATTTGTTTGGATGATTTTGAAAGATGGGCAAAGTGAGCTTAGCCAGCTATGCCCAGCCTATATAAATTGATACTAACATAAATCTTCTTTTTCCCTCTGTCTATAACTAATATTATGCTGAAGGCATGGAATTGCTTAGAGTGAAAAGATAGGAATTTAAACTGCCCTTAACCTTGAAGTTTAGCTGTATTATTTTCTGCTTTTGTAATGCTTAGACAGTTATTTAGCCATTCTTAGCCTCCATTCTTCACCTGCAGATGAGAATAATAATAGTATCTACCTTTATGTTTGCTGTGGTAAATGAGATAATGAATGAAAAGTATACTGCGTGGCTCATGGCAGGTTCTTAATTTTGGAGGCTACAATTATTAAAAACAGAGTCAAACAATGCACAAGATTATAGTGTCACTGCACATGATGGGAAGGTGTTAATCTAATAAAGGTCTTAGGAAAACCTCATATATTTCTCCACAACTGTGTAAAGACATTCTAAGATTGAATACTGAGAACAAACTGAGGGCTGATGGGGGAGGGAGAGAGAGTAAGGGGGGTGATGGGCATGGAGGAGGGCACTTGTGGGGATGAGCACTGGGTGTTACATGGAAACCAACTTGACAATAAACTATAAAAGAAAAAAATAAAATGAACTGAAAAAAGACATTCTAAGATTTACTTTCTTGATCTTAATTGATCTCCACAGTTGTAAAAATATTAACAACATACGTCTGTTACCTCTGTCACTTCTGAAGTATCAGGCAAGAAGAAACCAATGAATCAAGTT